GGCAGGGGCACGCTCACGACAGGGGCACGCTCATGGCAGGGGCACGCTCACCCACGGCAGGGGCACGCTCACGACAGGGGCACGCTCACCCACGGCAGGGGTACGCTCATGGCAGGGGCACGCTCACCCACGGCAGGGACCACGCTCACCCACGGCAGGGGCACGCTCACCCACGGCAGGGGGCACGCTCACCCACGGCAGGGGCACGCTCACCCACGGCAGGGGGCACGCTCACGGCAGGGGCACGCTCACCCACGGCAGGGGCACGCTCACGACAGGGGCACGCTCATGGCAGGGGCACGCTCACCCATGGCAGGGACCACACTCACCCACGGCAGGGACCACGCTCACCCACGGCAGGGACACGCTCACGGCAGGAGCACGCTCACCCATGGCAGGGGCACGCTCACCCACAGCAGGGGCACGCTCATCCACGGCAGGGGCCACGCTCACCCACATATAACCTGGCTACCCAGGAGACTGAGATCTGAGCACTGTGTCTGGGAGTCAGTCTGATCAGACAAAACTGAGAAACACTAATAATCTAATAACCCTAAAAACAAACAAACAGAATTGGAGGTGTGGCTCAAGTAGTACAGCACCAGCTATGAGCCAAGCAAGAGCAAGAGGCTCCAAGATCAAGCCGAAGTAATGAACACAAAAAAATTTGCTGTCATTTTTCTCCTTTTAGCTGCAGGTGAACTTGCTGTCCAAATTCCTGCTGATTGCGAAATGTTGTTATGAGCAGAGGAACTTTGCAACGGCCATGCAGATCCTAGGAGGGCTGGAGCACCCATCTGCAAGGCAGTGCCCTGTGCGCCACCCGGGCAGTGGGCTGGGGCGTGGACGCGGGTGGGCAGTGGGCTGGAGCGTGGACGCCGGCAGGCACTGGCAGCCAGGGGCTCACCCGGGCAGTGGGCTGGGGCGTGGACGCGGGTGGGCAGTGGGCTGGAGCGTGGATGCAGGCGGGCACTGGCGGCCAGGGGCTCACCCGGGCAGTGGGCTGGGGCGTGGACACGGGTGGGCAGTGGGCTGGAGCGTGGATGCAGGCGGGCACTGGTGGCCAGGGGCTTACCCAGGCATGGGCTGGGGCATGTACGTGGGTGCGACCAGGGGCTCACCTGGACAGTGGGCTGGGGTGTGGACGCGGGTGGGCAGTGGGCTGGGGTGTGGACGCCGGTGGGCATCAGCAGCCAGGGGCTTACCTGTGCCTCCATCTCAGGCCTGGAGAATCCTTCCTGCAAAGATCGCCGAGGTCATGGAGGAGCTCAAAGCTGTGGAGGTACGTGTGTGCAGTGTGTGGAGGTACGTGTGTGCAGTGTGTGGAGGTACGTGTGTGCAGTGTGTGTGTGGAGGTACGTGTGTGTGTGGTGTGTGTGGAGGTACGTGTGCGTTGTGTAGAGTTACATGTGCAGTGTGTGTGGAGGCACATGTGTGGTGTGCGGAGGTACGTGTGTGTGCAGTGTGTGTGGAGGTACGTGTGTGTGTGGTGTGTGTGGAGGTACGTGTGTGTGTGGTGTGTGTGGAGGCTCATGTGTGGTGTGTGTGGAGGTACATGTGTGTGTGGTGTGTGTGGAG